CTGTCAAACGATCTTTGGCATTCCTTTGACTCTCACCATCTCGCACCATTTAACAAACGTTGATTCAGTAGGTGTCTCAGTTGATGTTGAAACAAGTCATGAGCTAGAATGTACGTAGCTTGCCAACATTTTGTGGTACTGGCCTTCGACTAATATCACTGATATTATCTGAATTGGTTTCAAAACCGTCATTGTCGATCACGAACTCGAGATACTTCGTGGTTTGTTTGAAGAAATTGCACTAATGATCACGTAATTGTAAGCTAGACTGTTTTAATTTTGACAGGACACTATCAAGTCTACGGAACAGTTTCTCCTGAATAGGTCCAGTAAAAATGATATCGTCAGTGTATCATCCTTTTACCGTAAAATCCAGATAAGGGGGGATTTTGATGATTTTCCCAAAGTCGGTGAAAAATGTAGGAAGAAAATATAATGTCATTCGGACACGAGACAAAGAATACTGTATTTCACGCCACTTTTACAACTAGCCAACACTATGCATGAAGCTCAGACTTTCGTTTTGTCTCAACAACCAGTAGTGAACGTTAAGTATAATTCTGTTTTCCTGGAGATTTCTCAACAAAACCAATCTTTAAAAACTGACGGATAACGATAGATTGATTGTGTTAAACTTTTGAAGTTAACATAAACTTAATAATTGTATTAATTGAAACGTCTTTACAACATTTCCGATCTGTTCGCATTTATTACACATTAATACTTACTTTCCCCTGTTTTGTACTTTGTTCGAAAATTCTTGTATCATTCGATCTAGTGAAAACAATAAGGTTACGTTTCGTCTACTGAGTTAACATATAAAGTGATAAAAACTCAACTAGTTTTCAAAAACGTGACAAATATTGCGTCTTCTATAGTACAATATGTATCGCTTATCGCGTTTGCTAATAGTTCCCGTTGTTTCTACAGCGTAAAAATACATCGTGTTTCTCTGTTCTAGCCTCCTCTTTTATTAAGACAAGGTTTTTGCTATATCCTAACTTCATTGTTGTATGTAGTTTCGGGAAAACATACAATTCGAAGAATTCTTGTCCATACTTGGATTACACACCTTCATACAATCTGTCGTCAACTGGTTGCTTGAAGAAATATAAGTAATTCAATGACCTGTAAACGAATTTCGAAAGTTACTATACACTCTCTTTATTTCGTTTATATTCTTCTGCTAATATGTTTGAAACACCTTTCAGCAAGACTAAAAATTCGACAGTGATGTACATCTATGATTAAATTTTTGTATTGTGGCTAGTACTGAAGTACATAATGTGCATTTACTTTTAAATTAGTTTAGTTGTGAATTTACCTACATCTCAAAGTTATACTCAAAGACTCTAGTTCAATGCCTGTTGCCAAAACCCTCATCACTAAACTACTGAGTTAAGATAACCGCTAACATGTTTAACGAAAATAGCATTGATTTCTTATTCTTGAAGTCTTGTGTATGATCTTTCTTGTTGTTAAACCATCAATCCAGATAGAGTCTCACTGTAAAAAATCAACATAAAAACGCGTGCACACTTAGCTGAAGAGTTTTTTTTAACAGGAAATAAAATATCATCTGGATTTTGTTGTTGTCATGATTCTAGTTATAAGCTAAGACTTTAAAATAGAAGAAATATCATGGCGCTTCCTCGAGGGGTTCACTTATCGAAAAAGACTAAACAAATGTTTGGCTGAATCTCAAAAACAACACACATGACATTAAGAACAATATGCATTTATAATTCTATTGAGTGTAATAAGCAGGTCTACTTGCCAAGAAATCGATTAGCCATATATTAGCAACATTTATACCCTAGAACTATAGTCGTAATAAGGCTTTTTTATAATTATGTCAATTCTTCACGAGCTTATATCTCATCATTAGGAAATAATATATAGAGATGCCTTGTAGTGGCTGGCACTATGTCAAGCCCATACAGGCTATTCTAACTTCTGGACAGACTAATATATTCATTATTCTCAAGCCACATTTTGACCTTGTCAACTGTTTACCTATTAACTCTATTTTTACATGGACGTATACGTGTTAATTACTTACCCTATACATCACATGCCTGCAGTTTAGTTTTTCCTGAATATAAATACTGTCACGCTTAACCAAAACCAGTTGCTTTACTCGCCTATCCTACTGAACATCATTTCGTTTCGTTTCGCTTTCTTCACTTGGTTTCCCTGATTGTCTGTTCAGATCAATAAGTGTACGAAATACACTTATTCAAATTTCATTCTCGTACGTGACTTATTTTACCCAGTTATTCTCTATTGTGTATTGAATCAATAAAAATATACGGGGGTCGACAGCATGTATATTTCAAAAACAATCATTCAACGATTTAACTGGAATTAGATACAAGACCCCTAAAGCCTTCAAGAAAGATGTAATTCATACTTAGTCACTGAGACTAAGTGCTTAGAAAAAAACAAAGATTAATTTTCATTTGTGTCTCAAGTATATTAGGAAGATAGACTAAACATCTCTTTTCATTGGTGGTAAACTGTACAAATGTAAAACCGAAATATTAACTATTCTCCAGCACATCTAGTGCCAAAATTACCAGAAAATAGGAATTTTAACAGGCTAGTAATTGTAATCATTATTTTATTGAGAGTGCATTTGGAAGCCGATTCTGATGCTACTGCCATATTAATTAACATGGTTTCATAAAACAGAAAGTAAGATAAAATAAGCAACACAAACGAAGTTATAAACAGTGAAATAATGCACAGAAGTAATATCGACATTTACACAATTTACAAGTCGTTTACAGGAAATTACATTCACAATGACAAAACCTGTTTTTCATTCTAGAATTGACTTTCATTTGTACCGAATTCCAGTCTTTTTTTTTCTAAAAAAACATGAACTACTTAATTATTTTAAGTAAATAGATTAAAATAATGAAAAATAGCTGAGCGTTAGAGTTCCGAACTGCTACTACTAACGCCCTCCATCAGTTGCCACGGTAAATCATATGTCATTGTATTCGAACAAGCCACTTGTGAACATCTGAAAATCGAAAGTGGACATCTCGCTTACGATTGCTTTTCATCATACATTGTAGTATTAGTTGGTCTGAAACGAATAAGACCATGTATCAAAAGTAATGATTTTAATGTTATTTAGAATTTTAAATTTCACTAATAAATCAAGGGAAAAATGCCTAAAGTTGTCTGTAACACGTAATTTGAAAAATGAAACCCTGTTTAAAAGAACAAACAATCAAACATTAATTCATCACTCTCAATGAATCAGTTTGTTGTAAATTAATATAATACACGATTATTTCATACACCTTGAGATCATCAACATGTATTTAATAGAAATGAGGCCACCAAATAGTTTTACAATAATTGATAGACTTTTTGGTGATAAAATGTAGTCGTAGGAAATGAAACTCAAATCTAAAGAATTCTTATACTTCGTTTATTTTTAAATCACGAACTGAAATCACCACATTCAATTGCTTTACTGAACATCTGCTGAGATACAAAATTACAATAGCCGGTGACTGAATAGTAATCAGCGACTTGCTTTTTGTAACTATACACTTCGTTGGCTTGATATAGTAATGTTAGGTAGTTATTGTGAAATAAGTTATGCAATCACCAGTTTCATTGACATCTGAAACCATTCCACCCCTGACATTTTTATGAATTTACTTACGGAATAGAACTAATTATCTGGTTTATTTGTTTGCGCATATTTTATTTGGTGTGGTGTACTTATTAAGAGTGCTAAAACTTTGAGCAGACTACTAAGATGATCTGCTATACATTGAGGTTAATATGTAAGTTATCAAATAATATTGAATGATGTAAAATTAACCATTATGAGTATGAGTGATATCGAAGTTAGTACTTGATCATATTTTTCAGGTATATTTATCTTAATCTTCATTACCAAAATACTGATAGTAAGAAAACATAAGATCATATTTTGTTAAAAAAGCTTGTTTGACATTCATACCAGCTTATATTGTGGACTACTTTGTAATTTTATACAACAGATACTGTAGGAAACCATAACTTCATAATATCACATGAGCTAATGTTGATCTATGACAAAAACTGTCTGTAGACTGAAATAATCTTTTCATATCACCTAACTAACCATGCATTTTCAAATATGTTTTCTTCAAGAAGATTCTGTAAAGTGACGTTGTATGGTTTCAAACAGCCACATGAGAAGTGTAATTATGATCTAAATACAACATAACAACTTTTAATAATCTCGATAAGAATTGTCAGCTTAAAACAATATCAGAGCCATAACCTGAGTTCATTTATTTACAGGTGGGAACATAATGAAAATAATTGAACCAATGAATTACAAATAGATTCATCATATATTGAAATATCAATTACAATTCTTAATTTTCAAATAAATGATTTCGAACTATGTAAAAGTAGTTTTTACTATCATTTTTATTAAATTCAGAGAAGGGTTTTGTGAATATTATAGTAATTTAATTGTTGAATTGATGAGTTAATCAAAGCTAGACCATAATGTAAAACCTGGAATCACTGGACGGTGATGATCAGTGGAGTTAAACCGAGCCAGTTGTAAGATAGTAACTCAATGATGACATTGGCGGACATTGGTGCAATTTCGTGGATTGGTTGAAGCTAGACATTAACACTGTTTGGTCCAGAGGTTAGGCGTTCGCACGCAAGACCGATAAGTCCTGAGTTCTAATCTCGCGAGGTGGGGTCGCGAATGCACACTGCTGAGGAGTCCCATACTAAGACGAAACGGTTGTCCAGTGCTTCCAGGTTTTCTATGATTGTCTAGCTCCAATTGACTCATGAATTTTTAATAACTAATTCACTTACCTGATGCATATTATGCAATGTTATTATGCATTATTTCTTGTATGATAAATAAGATCTTTAATCACAGTAAAGAAATCGTTAGAACTTTTTTGTACAATTAGCAATAAATTAGGAAATAATAATAATAATAATCGAACTATTATTCAATCTTTTATTTCAAGAAGATTCAACCAACCATTAAAATTTTTTAAACCAGCAGTATGAAATTGATTTGAACTTAATTGTACAGTTGGTGCTTTCATCGTCATCATAATCATCATCATCATCATCATCGTCATATTCATTGGATATTGTGATTGATATTGATTTAATTGTTCCATTGATGGACAATTATAGAAACTGGTATGATTAGTGAAATTTTCATTGGAAAAAAGGGGAAATAATTGATGAAATTCATTTTTTTTATCATTATTAACATAATTTTGATGCTAAATTGATTACATATTCTTGTATTCAATTACTTACCTACTTACGCCTGTTACTCATAATGGAGTATAGGCCACCGACCAGCATTCTCCAACCCACTCTGTCATGGGCTTTCATTTCTAGTTCCATCCAATTCTTGTTCATTGTTCTCAGGTCTATTTCCATTTCCTGGCGAAATGTGTTCTTTGGTCTTCCTCTTTTCCTTTGGCCTTGAGGATTTCATGTGAGGGCTTGTCTTGCGACACAGTTCGATGCTTTCCTCAATGTGTTTCCTGTCCACTTCCAGCGCTTCTTCCTGATTTATTCCTCCACTGGAATATGGTTTGTTCTCTCTCCCACAATAGGTTGTTGCTGATAGTGTTTGGCCAACGGATCCGAAGTATTTTGCGAAGATAACTGTTAATAAACACTTGTATCTTCTGAATGATGGCTTTCGTAGTTCTCCGAATTTCCGCCCCATACAGTAGAACTGTGTTGACATTTGTATTGAAAATTGCGATCTTAGTGTTGGTTAACAGACAGTTGTTTTGAGTTCCAGATGTTCTTCACTTGTGAATATGCTGTCTTTACTTTGCTGATCCACGCCTTCACGTCTGATAAGATCCACCGTGTTCATCAATGCTGCCCAGATATGTAAATTGTTTACATCTTCCAAAGCTTCTCTGTCAAGTGTGATTTGATTGGTACATGATCTGTTGTTTGGGGGGATTCTTGCTTTTCCCTAGAAGAGTTGGAAAACCCTTATTCAAACCAATGGTGCACATGGGCTTCAGGATCCTGAATGAACAAATGGCGTATGAACCAATCGTTCGTCACTGACTATTATGGGACGGCATCTCCTTACGTTGCTCCACTGTCTTGTAGTTTAAACTTTTAGGTCAAGGGCTCGGGATGTGGCCCCCTAAGAAAACCGCTTGTTTCGGTTTGCACCCAGGCAGTATCTCAACCCTCATAAAAATCGAATGATTTATGTGACGCATAACTATTTGGTGCCCTCTTGTACCACTGTTTCTGTGTTTATATAAATAAATGAATAAAAAAATCATAAGAAGCGCTTTCACAGGTTAATCATCAAAGCACTCTTCAACGTAAATATAAGTTCAGTTTACCTGAATAGTACTAGTGAATGTCACACACGAAAAACCGAAATTATAATACAGGTTGCAAATCAATATATACAAAAAGGTTGAAATTACGTCTGTTTAGTGTTTTTAGAAAAAAACTTTTGTGGGATCTGTAACGGTTATTTAATAATTTTTATAATCCCTCTTTCGATAAAATCATTTTGCTTTTACAAATTATGTTATTTTCTATACATAAAGTCCACTTGTATAAGAAGTTGTGGATAGTCGGTAATGGAATTGAGTTCATACAGTTACTGCAAAGCCATATATCAGTCACAGCCAATGCGAAAACAGGCCATTGTGTCCATATATGATAAGCTAATATAATCAGTTCGTCATCCACAAGCAACATGAAATCTAGCACAATTGTCAATCAGTTAAAGTTGACAAGTCACAACACAACAGTGAGATGTGTTCGTCAAGCCAAATGTCAAAGTAGGGGAAATAGTAACGTTACCAGTAGTAAACAAAATTTCTTATTAAAGAAAAACTTGATTCAAGAAAAAAGAATGAATTTACTGGATAAAAAAAATACAATAATTTTAAAACGATAGATCCAAGGGATGACAAATAGTGAATGGATCCCAACCATTATGACAAAATATGAACTATGTCGTCCAACGTCTCCAAATATTGCTTACAACAGTCTTGTACACTTAATGTAGAGCATAAAATATATGTCGTATTAAAATCAGTTTACTCGAAAATAATTATAAGTAGGAATGAATAAAGTTGCTTAGTTCTGTGTGTTAATAGAGTTACAGCAACTATCCTACAACCAATTTCGAGTATGGTTAGTCTTAGTTAAGCCTTTTTATTAACTCACCTAATAGATAATGTTATTTCAACAGTAACAATTCGCATATTTCGTTGTACCGTTATGATCATTAGATCACATGACAGACTCGAGCTAAAATGTTGATTTCTTAAATATCACTTCATGGTTCATCCTCCTCCCCATGTATATATGTACTCAAATCCTATTATTAGCTTTTGCTTTGCGTTGTTATGCCCTTATGCAATTCGACTATAAATTTGCTTATGTATTCGTTCGCACACACATATTCACCTCACTGCTTCAAATCCGCTTAATGTGCTTATAGCTTTGTGATGTGCGCTATCCGCTAAAATACTGTAGTTGCCGCTTCTCATTGCCTTCTAATTTCAAATACCGTTGAGATTTATATTATGACGGTTATCGAAGTGATCGATTAACGAAGCAAAGCCATTACAGATTTTATCAAAGTTCCGTTTGTTTCATTTTAGTTAACGTGATACTATTTTTTTCGGATTTCATATTATAAGCTTACCCTAATATTAACTCATTTTAATGTTAGACATTAGATTAATAACGATACAATCAGAAATGCCAGGCTGTTCAAAGGAATCAGTAGGAAGCTTTAAAATTATGTTCTAAACTAGGAGACATCACTTCACCAAAGCATAACCTGTAATCATGAAGTAATTTACTCTACCAGGTTATCTGACTTCACAATCAAAGATTGTACCATTTAGTTTTCAGGAATAATTGTTTGAATTACTTTGTAGTGACTCACATTTATCACGAGAACACAACTGGTTTAATAAAAACAATTATTATTGTAACCAATTGTACCAGTGCTTGTTTTAATGTGCTTTTGTTTGACTGTGCTAATGACAGCTATATTGGGCTTCCATTCTTGTCCACACACTTCGATTGTAACTTCGCGCGAATTCGGTTACCTTCTGTAACCAAGCGTGTATCCTGGCACGATCTCGGTATCCTTTCGGTGCCACGAGATCGCCAGCAAATAAACCTCGACTTGGTCCATTAATTGTTTTCTGATATTTGGCTTCTCGGGGATTTTATGGAGTCATTTGGCACGAGCTTCTTGGTAGCGGTGTTCATAGTCAATCTCGACTCGACGCCACTCTACAACTTACAAATTTAGTCAGTTATATAATATACCCTTGTAGGCCAGGGTAATTTTACATTGGTTTTTGGGAGAACCAAACATTATCCAGACATTCACGTGACAACCCAAACAGATCAGTTCACTCCCGTTTAACAGGAGAGCGAGACACCGCCCAGGCTTAACACGAACAGTACAGTTCAATCCCGCTTCACAAGAGAACCAGACACCGTATAGGCTATAACGCTACAATCAGTATAGTACAGCTCAATCCTATGGCTTGACCACCCAAGTACCAAACGTCCTGATGGACCATAGGAATTTAACCAGTTAAACGTAAATTATATAGTAGAGTTCCACGTATGTAAGCATTTTACTCAATTCAATAATTAAGTAAAAGAGCAATGGTTGTATTTATAAAAGACTGATTATTCAAAAGTTGAACAACAAACCAGTGTCTTGTGCAGAAAAAAAAACAAAAATTAAAACTTACTTTATTAGATTTTGTATAATTTTCGTTACATGGTATTCTAACTAAAGCGATATCGTCTACATCATTTATTTGTTGTTGTTGATGTTGTTGTTGTTGTTGTTCCTGATTATGATGAGGAATATTTTGATTAGGGGATAGAATAGCAGCTATTTGACAATTGTCTTGATATAATCTAGCCAATTGTTCATTCATTGTTTGATGTAATGAAATAGATTGAGGAATAGAGAATTTCGGTATTATACAATGATTTATAGATGAACAAATTGTTGAATTGGAATTGTGATGTAAATTCGATGAATTAAGATAACTAGAATGTTTTAAATAGTCAATAAATGAAGATGAAGTTAATGGAACTGTTATAAATGAAGATGATGGTAGTGAAGATATATCATAAAGATGTTGATGATATGGTAAAGATGAAAAAAATTCAGTATGACTCACTTTTGAAATATTTGTTGGTTGAATCAATTTTGTTGATTCCTTTGATAACTTTTTATGTGCAGAAAAACATGTTTTATTAATTAAATTTCCAAAGGATCTACTACTAGTCGAATGTACATTACTGGTAGTTGACATACAAGGTTTTATCAGGACAGGACGTGAAATAGTAATATGAACAGGATGCTGAGACATTCTAGATTTCATGTGAAATGAAAAGAAAAAAAACACAGAATAAATGTTAAAGAAGCTGGTAATTTTTTAATAAAAGATATTTGAAGTATGGATTGACACCAGGTGAGACTATAATTTATGGACGAACCAATCAGATTTAGAATGACAGGTTTAGGATTTTGGCGTGAAATTCATTCACCCAATTGTCGAAATACCTTCCTGACATTTTAACTAATGTCAGTTCGTGATGAAAACCATAAATTCAATTCCTAACCATCAACTATAAATCATAATATTTTACTCTTCATACTGCTTTATAGCCATCAATTAGCCCTAGTAAGTAGGTGGACATACCCAAAGTCACTTTAGCGTCGCTCAAAGGTCGTTCATAAATTATAGTCTCAACAATGTTAAAAATAAACGTTTTAATAATAAAAATATTTAGAGCACATCTTCACAGTGCGTTAACACAATTTGTATGAACGATTCATTTGGAAGCGTTTAATATTAATCGTAACCTTCAGTGTGATTGATTGGCTAGAATAGTCTGAAGATTCTTGATTCTTTATTAAATAATCTGAATTCTTATTGGTTATAGTTCGTAAGTTTTTTTCAAAGATAAAGAGTTCAATTTTCCCTAATGACCTTAACTTTACTTGTTTTACCCATTTGCATTGCAATATGTTTGCATCAAAAGAAGAGTATGGTCTTTGCAGTTGTAAAATTTCAATTCAATGTTTAAGATCTAACAAATAAAGCATAATGTAACTGGATAATATTTTCGCTTGTATGTATGCTCATATATAGCAGTAAAAAGAAACGACATTTGATTCAATAGATTTGTAAAGTGTTTTCGCATGTATATTGATTGATTACTTGGTATTAACTAATGTCATGTTCATTATGTTCTTAGTGCTGTTAGAATTATATAGGTGAAGTTACAATGTACTAACTATATACAAATCAGTAATGTTGTGGATGCGAAGGATAGACCAATAATTATCATGTTAAGTCCAATGGTGTCCTTGGACTTTAAATGGACATTTTCTACTGGTCGATATCTGTCCACTTGTTGAATATGGTACAAAATGTTGTTTTCTATTTTTATGGTACGATGTGGTATGTTTGGTTAGTATATAAATAGAGTATGTCTGAAATACAATGATTCATAACTCAGAGGCTGAGATCTGTGTTCTGGACTCAACTGGCTTGGATAGACAGGGAAGCAGGGCCACTCAGGACACCTGTTTGAATAGAGAAAATGCTTACAGTTTCAGTTGTGAAACGTAGGTCAACTTAAATTCAATAAATAATGTAGATCACATTAATAGATTAATGTTGTATATGAATTAAATCATATGATAATAGATTACACAGGTTTTTAAATCATGAGTCAGTTGAAGCTAGACCACCATTGAAAACCTGGAAGCACTGGATGGATGCGCACTGCTGAGGAGTCCCATACCAGTACGAAACGGCCGTCCAGTGCTTCCAGGTTTTCAATGGTGGTCTAGCTTCAACTGACTCATGATTTAAAAACTTGTGAAATTTCTTAAATTCTCCACAAAACCCATTCTGATGATAATAGATTAATTTAATAGAAAAACAAACAAGAATGAAAATGCATGCTGATGTAGTGTTAGTCATTAATTTTAGCCCATAATATATCTTATTCTAGTTTCCGGACATTCCATTCTATTCATTCTACATGAGTCATGTTTTGACCTTGTTAATTATTCGCTTATTAGCCTTGACTGTTTTCACATGAGCGTATATGTGTGTACACTTCATGTGCCATGACTAATCACATGTCTGTGGTTTATTTTGTCTGCCTATAAATATTGAGTAATGCCTAGCTTGAAATGGAGTTGGCTTTTCAGCCATCCTCCCTGGGCGTCGTTTTGCTCTGTTCGATTACATTCACTATACATACAAAATATATGTATTCAAAGGCCATTCTCGTTATTTGACTTAATTAATTCCGTTATTGGATAACGTGATTCAAGTCGACGATTATATACGAGAATAGGCGATGGCAAACATTCATACGATCAAATTGGAGTCAGATCACAGGCCACTAAACTGAAATGAATATTTCCGGCTTAGAATCATGTAGTAACAGGACTGTGTCTCTTATGCAATAACTTTGGAAATGTTCACTTCCCATTCAAGCAAAACCTGATGGTATATCCAGAATAATATCAAAAACTTTAAAATTAAATTATCCAGCTCCAAGGATGTGTCATCTTAACTTTGACATAAAATTAAGTTCATTTATATTAACTCATTGATGATCATCGTTTTTTTTTACCCTTCACCAACTTTTTAAGACACAGTAACTAACTTAATGATTAGATTTTCTTTATAGTATCTTCTGGAGTACAAAAATACAATTTTCAAAATTGGATAATCGATAATGATACCAGATCATTTGATTTCACGCTATTCCCATCACATCGATAAAACAATAAAATTTCTTAATTGATAATCCGGATATTTCAAACATTTGGTTAACTTGTTGACGAGTAAACAAAATTTAAAACTTGCAATTGTTGGGTAGATCTAGAAAACTTCTCGAAAAAAGCCAAGAAAGGCTCTGAAAACATTGAGAAGTGTCTTATTTAATCAGCGTTCAGTCGAACTTTTGCCAGAAGCATCTAGAAAATGAAATGTCACATGTTAAGTTCCTGACTGGATGATTACTCATACTGCTACTATGTTTAGTAGCATTTCAGAACTTTCTGGAAACCCTAGATCTTCTGTGCATAAACGAACCTTTGGAATAAAATATTCCTTACATATTTCATTTCTTTTCTCAAGTGTTCAAGTCTTTGTGCATTTCTAGCCTGGGGGTTACTAGAAAAGTTCAGGAACTAAATCAAGCGTTCAATTAGCAAGACTTATCAGTAATATTATCATTTTATTTCTTTCTATAGATTGAAACTATATAGACAATTCAGAGACTACCAACTTGGATTAGACTTCATTCATTTACAGGTTTAAGTGATTTGATAATGTGGTTTACTCTTATTTAAAATAACTGAAACTGGTCGATATCACATTGTGAAACTCTTGTTTTTTGGTAATTAGAATTATTATCGAAGTGAATATTTTCGCTCAGAAATTCACACCCCGTATCATCCTTAATGCAACAGTCATAAATAATAACTTTGATCTATTTAAAAACGTTTGTTCCAGACTTGACAATGACAAAAAAGACTTTGTTTAAGAATTCTACTCACCTGAACATGCGAACAACACTATTACTTGTAGATCGTGAGACATTTATATTATCAATTGCAACTATAAAATCACCAGCTTGTATTCCACACTGCATTGCCGGTGAACCCGGTTCCACATGGCTAACGTAAACTGGACAATTACCACATAAAGTAAATCCGTATCCCTTAGAACCTTTTTGAATAAGAAACTGAATTAGGAAAAATTAAGATACAGTAAAGTAACTATTATTTAAACAAGAACGAATTAATTGTTTGTTATGTGGACATCAGATAAAAAATATGGTAATTACGACAGGTTGTCAGATTATTATGAAAAATAATGTTATGTTTGTAACATTCTGATGACTAGAGGATTGAAGTTTTGACGTTTCACAGCTCAATGTCAGTCACGTCTACAAAGAATAAATGAATAGTCGAGTTAAATTAACACAAACTTAAAAAGTACAAAGGAACAAAGCAACATACCTAGTACAAATAAAATAATTCTAAATAAGTCAATGACACGACAGATGGGTCAAGGGGATTCCATGCGAGACATGTGTGTGTATTTTTGTGTATGTTAGTCAATATGAAACATGTGATATGAAACACGTAAAAAACTGTTTAATTGTAGTTTGCTATTGCCCTTCTGTATAGAATCCTGTTTTCACACTGTGAGTAAACTTCAGAATGGAATATCTTTAAACTCTGCAAAACGTTTTTATAGCATTATTTTCGACGAATTATTACTATGGCTGATTTTAAACGATAACTGTTATATGTTATTGGCTTGTGGCTTAAGGCAATATCGAGGCGACGCGCACAGGATGCACATATGCCAACATGAGACTGATTAATTACAGTCCTAAATAACAATGAAAAGGCACAAGTAGAACAACACCAAGTGAATTTAAACTTCACCCCATTGCACAAGCAAGTGGCAATCAGGACTCAGTAGCTAAGTGGATAACGCGATAGTATGTGAAGCGAACGGCAATGGGTTCGAGTCCTAGAGTGAACACCAACTCTCGGATGCAGGTACATTCAGATGATGAATCCCAAATAGGACGAAACGTGCGTCAAACTGGATTCCACTACTAGCCACTATCCATCTTTGATTATAATGTTTGTGAATTAAGACTATATCGGGGCAATCCACACAGAATGCACATATGCCAACATGAGACCTACCAAATGCAGTACTAAATAGCAATGGAAAGATACAAGTAAAACAACAAGTGAATTTAGATAATTGTTAGACGTTATGACAAAAAAATTAGTGAAGAATAATATTTACCTCATTAGATTCATAAGAATATAGAAGGACACCATGAATAGAAATGAATGACCTAATTATGTGGCATAATAGAAATGTCTTAGGAGTCGAATGTTTTAGACCGTAATCTGTAAAGGAATTAACGAAATTTGGGCATTTTTTATTCTTCAAAATTTTTATTTCTTGTTGGTCTAGAAAACCAAATGACCATTTTTATTTATCATCAACCTCTCGAGTTTGAAAGAAAGCACTATGAGTTTGAATTAATTAGCACGACAGTTTTATCATTAAAATGGTAATGTTGATGATGCTGGATTGGAAATGGTTATGTTTAATTTTATCTGAGGACAGTATGTCACTTTTTAAGTAGTTCGAACTAGTATTTGAATAAGATTTAATTTTTTAAACACATAAACATTGGTAAAAGGAGGCACCAAACAGATAAGCACCATATAAATAATCCAATTTCTATGAGAGCTGTAGTAATGCACGTGTGCCCAGACCGAAGCAGGTGTTTTTCTTAGGGAGCCACACCCCGAAAAGTATGTGTCGGAGGTGGGACTCGAACACATGCCCACATTGTAGACCAGAACGCCCAGGAGAACACTCTTGAGTCTAGAGCCTTAGACCGCTCGGCCACTCCGAATAAGAATAAAACTAATTCTCAATTTCATTAAATGCATAGAAATTTTAAAGTAAGATAATACAAATCAAAATTTAACCTTCAAACTTAAATTGAGTTGCTGTTGAGTTGATAAAAGTGAATCAACTTTATTGAAGACAGTTGTAAATTTTCTATGAAATTGAGCAGAATCATATAAGATCAAAATGAAACAGGCGCTTCTAATTGTTGTCCAAAATAACAATGAAAGCATTTTAATGATATATTCTACCTCAAAGAATGCAACATCATCAAAAGTATTATATCGATTCTTACAAAGTACGAAATGTTCATGATTATATATATCTGTTGTATCCTAGTGGAGATTAAACTACGGGTAACTTCTGAGACCTATTAATGGACAAATATTATATATACATACCAATTGTATAACTATTCAGTAACTAGATAATATGTATCTATATTCCTCATATTATAAGCTTCATTTTGGCCTATACATTACTACTATTATACGATTTGATATTGTTAAATTATGTTCGGTTTATTGATAACAGTCTCCTACGTTCACAGCCATTTTTTGGCTTGATCTTGTATAAATGTTATTTCCTATTTTATAGTGTGATGCAGTCTGTTTGGCTTGTATAGAAGCCAAGTATGTTTGAAGCAAATGATTCACATAGTAGAAGCTGTTATTGGTGTTCTGGACTTAACTGGACGAGCTAGGAGGACAAATAATTAACGAGGACACTAGGCTTGTCATACCGCTTGAACGTTATTGGTTTTGGCACAGTACTAAAGTTGTGTAAGTTGTATTTCGATTGGCGAATAAATCACGTGATAATTAGCCGGGCTTAAAGTCACAATAATATCAATCTTTTCCTTTCTCCCAAGTTTATTGTTAATTAAAATTTCTAGTTTTACCATTCAGGTTATTGAAAGTCCAAGTTTACAGAACTGTAAGTTTAGCGGTCCTAGTAAGCTTAGTTTTATTCAACCTGCATTTGAATGATACATTATTTTACAATGTATATTCCACAAGTCTACTGTAGTCAAATTTGATTTTATACTGTGTAATATAACTTCACATAAGGAAAGTATTATTTACAAATTCTTATTTCTTGTTATCATGAACTTGTATATTACTGAACATAAATTATACAACCAATGTGAGGTCTTTCAGTAATTCAAAAAGCAGTACAAATCGAGACTTATGATTAAAATTAATGGTGAATGAAATTTAATTCTTATTTTTCTTTCTACAAAACTTCCTAATCAATACAATAATTAAGGATTCCGGCTCAGTGGTCTAAAGGCTAAGCGTTCGCACGCGAGACTGGTAGGTCCAAAGTTCGAATCTCGTGGAGCGGGATCGTGGATGAGCACTGTTGAAAAACCACCTTCCATTGATTCCAGGTTTTAAATGGTGGTCTAGCTTCAATTGACTCATTAATTCGATTATTAGATTACTACAATCTACAAAAAACCCCTCTCTGAAAAATGTGTATATATGTAAGTAACAAAACGAATGTTATTAGATTACTTTTTCAAATGATATTCAGTTTCCCAATTAATACTGTCTTATTTCATTCATCTTTTTGAGATTATAATTTATGTACAACTTTTGAGCACCTCTTAATTGACTTAGAGAGTATCCACCTACACACTACGGCTAAATGAACATTATAATTGTGAGGAATTTACAGTTGCTAGTTAGGTTTGGGAATTGTTATAACTGTGCTCTGTGTCCTTATTAATGTGTAATGTAATGATACCATCGATTAGAGAACAGTGAATTATCGACTGGACCAATGACCCATAAAACCTGTACGAGCAGTTTAGAGTCCTTATCGGTCCTGATTCCCGCCTAGACCTGCCTGTTAAGTCCAGAACACGAACCTCAGCCTCTGTGATATGAATCGTTTATTTCAAACATACTGGGTTTAAATACAAACGAAACAGACCACGTATTACCACAAAATAGGAAACAACATTTGTAAAAGATTTAGCCGAATGTGATTCTGAATGTGAGAGATAGTAATTGATAAACTGGGTATAACTGATGAATGGTATATAGTATAACAACAGTTCATAGGTCAAAATAAAGCTCACAATAAAAGGGACACGAATATGAATAGTTTAGTCACTAATCAATTATGCGTTAAATATATACATATAGTATTGGTTCATAAATGGATCCCAGAAGTTGCCATTCATTATTCTCATCGCGATATAACAAGAATTACATATATAGAGTTTTCATCACAAACTAACATTAGCTATAATGTCAAAACTCTATTTAAACAAATTTATTTCGCGCCAAAATTTCAAAATCTGCTATCACAAATCTGATTGGTTTATTCATAAATTATAGATTCACCACAAATACCTTCATGTAAATTGTTCACAATTCAAATAAATCATTTAAAATAGAGTAAATTTATTATCCTTTTCTTCTTCTTCTTCTTCTTCTTCTTCTTCTTCTCCTTGATGTTGTTGTTATGGTTATATTTTAACAGAACAACTGTTATATTTAATGTTGCATTAAACAGTTATTGTTTGAATCATCATTCTAGTTGTGTATGTTTTAAAGTTATTTATTCTAACAATAACCATTAGTGAAGCTTATAATTTGTGTATTAAAATAAATTGATATAAATGATTCTTAGGTTTCTCATTTACTTTCATTCTTTTACTTTCTACTTAATCTATTTGTAATATATTTAACCCATAGAAATTAGTCATTAATAGATGTTATATTTAATGTTGCTAAAGGTTGAGGTATAAGTTACCTGATTATGCCATTTTTATATGTATCTACGAATTCAGCTACTCTTGTGAAGAAAGCTATATTGGGCGGAACACCAGACAACTGAACCAAATTGTTAGTGAACACTTCCATTCGTGGTTAGTAAAAGGTAATGTCAAGATAATACGCAGCTCAATTCTATCACACTTGATCGACAGTGGTCATGTAGTGGACAGAAACAAATCAATTAAAGTTATTTATCGTATTTCTACTAGTTTTACTTATGATGTTCGATCTTGTCTCTTACACATAGTAGAAGCTATAGGAATTCGAGCCAACAATACAAGTCTTTGTGTTCATAAGAAATTTGTAACATTCTTATCTCTCCCTTGGTCTTAATAAATGATTTTATTTAATTATTATTTTCCATACTCTTTGTTCGTTTGTTTTTCTCCTTAACCTCGCAGCCTTTTTTTCCCTCAAATATATGCTTCACGGTTCAATTATTTGAACACTTCTTATTATGTAATCTTATAATCTTTCTATGAATGTTATTTTAGTGTCTATATTTTTCTAATTATTGACTTAAACTAACTCATGATTTCAATCTGTGAAATTTCTAAAATCTCCACAAAACCCATTCTGATAATAATCAACTGCTCACTAGTGACTGACTTCAGGAAAAACTCCCGAAGTTCTAGTGAGAAGCCGTTACCAGTGGAGTTCAACCAGGTCTGTTGTGAGATAGGAACTCACTGAAGACAATGGTGTACGGTGGCGCAACTTCGTGGATTGGTTGAAGTTAGACATTAACACCGTTGGATGCCGGCTCAGTGGTCTAGTGGTTAAGTGCTCGCACGCGAAGCCAGTAGGGGGTTCGAACCCCGCGTGGTGCGGGATCGTGGATGCGCACTGCTGAGGAGTCCCATACTAGGACGAAACGGCCGTCCAGTGCTTCCAGGTTTTCAATGGTGGTCTAGCTTCAACTGACTCATGATTTAAATAATTAGTTGTTGTTTTTTTTTGGTGTTGACAGATTCCATAATCACATGTATCATAATGATGTTACCAAATGAACTTTCAGTTCATCCGACATACAATGAAGTGATGAAAATTTTATTTGTAACCAGTGAAAGTTGTTTTTGGTCATATAAAATAATAAAAGATTATCAAAAAGGTGTTCAGTTGTAAAATTCCTACTATCAAACAGTGTTTTACGTAATCATAGTAAAGGCTTTCTTTCATCCTATCAGGAAAAAGCAAAAATGCAAATCAGTAATTTTAATTATGTTCAATAGTTAGAAAAAAAGATCATTTATTGATTCAGTAAATCACATTTGTACCTCAAATTATTTATTATTTAACATTGATTACTACCAGCTAGATTTATTCAGCTTTAATTGTTGACAGAATCTGTAGGAATGATTTACACCTCATTGTAATATTTTGATGTCGTTTTAATCAGTTGTGGTTGTATAGTTGGTTCATGAATTAACTTTCATCTGAAGTTTTTCTTCCTTTCTCCAAATGTTATCAATATTTGTTCCGCTATAAAAAGTAGCAAGTGACAGTTTTTTTTCAGCTACCACAAGTATTAAGATCTGTATATAACGAGATACAATAAATCCAATCGTACATTTTATAAAATTTAACCTTAGTTACTCGACAAAATAAGGTAATAACATGTAACTAAACTACTAGATTTCGCATACAAATAAATGATCGAACTTTGCTTTTGTCTATAGTTACTAACAAATCAAACTTTCACTAGGTCTTTTCGCTCTATGTCCGTAACCATATTTAGACATTTGCACATGAATGATTTATGTAAGGTTGGATTGTGACTAAACGTGGAACCTATGACATAGATTTAGTTAAACCTCATTGAAACTTGTGTCTGAATGTCAATATCGAGGTCTTCTCATTAGGTGGTATATATAATTGTGTAAACACTAACACTGAAACTCAAGAACATTCGATTAACTAGTCGTAAATAAGACAAAATGCATATCTTGAATTATGGGACTACAATATTAACATTATGGTAAAGGTAAAAGTTGATAAAAAAAACAAGAATTCCAACGTACAATAGTGACTACAAACAGAACTGAATAGAATAATTAGAGGTGACTACTCACATAAGTCAGATTATGAAAACAAGAATAAGCTGCAATATAATTGCTATATTCTAATGTAAATCTTTAGAAGTTGAAGCTAATCAATCAAATATAAGAAGTAGCATATCTTCGAATACATACAATATTTGTACGTTCTTTCATAATTACAAATATGTTTGGGTTTATTAGTGTTGAAGATGATGAAGATGTTTATATATTTACTCTTAAAATTGACAAGTCAGTTCAACGATTTGTACACATTGATGGATGATAGTGTAGTAACCAATGCTATGCTTTTTAATCCTAAGTAATGATGGAATTCTACCGATCCAATTGCAATATGACCAATATTCTCCAAGTTACTCGACACCGTATGCACTATGTCACATGGTTGGGGCCGGTCGACAAAAGCTATATTTGATAATGGCTTCACTCTATTTCATACTCTTCATCTGGGTGTGTATAGTATTCTGAGAAAACCATTACTCGAAACCTTATTACTCAAAGTCACCTGAAGACAGTACCACTGAGTTAGTCTAACTTCTTGCTTGACTATAATATTTATACCGATAATTAGTGAGGGGTAACCAATATGACGTTCTTATCGTCAGTACTGTCGAATAGCTCAGCGGCAAAGTCCTTATCTCTGACACTTAGTGGCGTTAGACTGAATTATGTATGTAGTATCATTTTTCTCCGTACTAGATGCGTACCTCGATGATGAGTATTAACTAAGACAAAATCAAAGTTTAGGGGTTTCTTCCGCTTGTCTACAACCATTTAACATGCCGCCAAATACTAGTGCTCAATGAAATGATGATAAGCTTGAATTCGCTTCTAATATAAACTTAAAAATTAATGGAGATTGTTTGCTTTTAGTCATAGGTCTGCTGAATCTGTTCAATTTATACACGGAATAACAATAAAAGGTTATTGAGCAATATTACTTTATTCAGTCTTCCAAAATTTAATGAGTATCCTAGCTTAGATACGTATATGGTGAAAACTATAGAAACTTAAGTGAAAATAATTTAACTCACTTGAAATATTCTCATATTACTTAAAGCTTTATTCGTATTTGGAATTGACATATTTGCTCGTATAGGAACTGGTGATGAAAATTGTGGAAAATGTGAATTAACTGGTGGATTATTAATTTGATATGGTAACAATGTATTAGGCAGATTTTGTGAATAAATCATAAAGTTAGTAGGTGACAATACTGGACGAAATTCCCTGGAACAATGATTATTTATATCGTGTTTATTACTAGCAAAATTACGATTTATGTTAGGATGAATTTCATTTGTACTTGAATGTGTGACATTTTCATTCATCGATGTTAGAATAATAGGAATTTGTTGATTTTTTGTTGATGTGTTTGTTGTCACAGTATCAGTAACAGCTTCGGTTTTCATTATATCTGATACAATTAATTCATTTGTTGCACATAAAACATTTTCAAAGTTGGTGATAGGATCTAAAGCAGTTTTGAGATGCTTCTTTTTAAACATTTTTTCATCTAATAAATAATACCAACCTGAGATCTATGAACAATAGAGTAGAAGAAAATTAAAATTAAAACATGAATATATGTTTGTTCAATTAGTGTGCACTTTAGTTAGACACATATCACTGGTGGGATAGGATTATAGTCACACTATATTACAAGTTGGCTAATGTTAGAGCTATAAATAGTTGGATTTCGAAATAACTGTATCAAGTTATTGTATTTCTAACATGACCTGAAATCGATAATGTTTAATTCACTTTAGAATTGTAAACATACATTAATGAGTAACTTCAGTTCACATCGAAATATTTATCTGATATTTCTTTTTAGTTTCAATGATCTTCCTAATAATGAAGATGGGAAACATGAACTAATTTGATTTCATTTGAGTTGACTACATTCCCACTTTACACAAGATACTTAACATCCACTGGCCGGATACTATCAGCAACAGCCTACTGTTGAAGAAGACAAACCAGCTTCCAGCTGAAGAGAAAATTAAGAAAAGGTGATAAAAATGGATAGGATATACATTGCGGAAATCACTAAACTTTATCACGAAGCAAGTGCTAACTTGGAATCCTGAAGAAAAGAAGAAAAGAGGAAGGCCAAAGAACACATTACGTCGGGAAATAGAAACAGATATGAATAGTATGAATAACAACTGGAATGAGCTGGAAACGATTTCCCAGGACTTGGTCGGATGGAGAGTGCGGATGGGCGACCTATGCTTCTCCACGAGGAGTAACAAGTGCAAGTTAGTAAGTAAAAAAGTGTGGTGAATTAAATGACTTCCATTTTTTTTGTTAATAAACAGTTTGAGTTTTCTGCTATGAGCATGAAATAAAATTTATGTTTAATATGCAAATAAGTTAATTTTATCAAAGAAAATAATTGATATTTAGAGTTGGGTAATAAATTACTCAATCAAATTCTAACCAATACATTGATATCTATTTATCTACAACAGAGGATTTGTGATTTTTGACTTGAATGGAATTAAAACAAAATGAATATTTGTTGTTTTTAAATAGTTGAATTCATGAGTCCGTTGAAATTAGACCATCATGGAAAACCTGGAAGCATTGGACGAACGTTTCGTCCTATTGTGCGACTACTCAGCAGTGCTCATCCACGATCCCACCTCACTATATATATATATATATATATATATATATATATATATATATATATATATATATATATATATACCACAACAAAAAGTGTAAATATTTTTACTTCTTTTAAATCATAAGCATCTAGTTGACTTACGTGTTTCTTGTTTTGTATACTGGGAATTCCAAAGGACATTCCACCAAGAAATTCACTTGAAATGAAATTGCAAAAAAGAAAATATTAATCAAATTAAGTATAAACCTTCCCAGTGATTATTCAATCAAATTACAGACTTAGTATTGTCAATATAAGGCATTTTAATATTTTTGGCAACTTATAAGAACTAGAGAGAATGGGAATTAATTTGAACTTAACAAATGTTCTAGCTTGACAACAAACTTTGTTATGTCTTATCGTCCAACTGATTTACATTCCAATTCCCTGGTTAATTTGCAGAGTTTTCATGAACACAAATTTGTCATTGCCTTATTAAACTTGTTAAACTTTACACTGGAAAATACCTAGAAATAAATTTGTTTTAATTTCAGAAGAAAATACTTACCTGGCTTATTAGTGAAATGCTTGATGTTACATTTACCAATTGACTGGAAGAATGTTACGGTCTTTGGAATTAGCCATGACCTCAGCTAATCAGTTATTCACTGAGGAAACTATATGATTATGTTTTATGCCTAAACTTGATTAAAAGATTTAAATGCACACTTTGGATTGTGACTCATTAGTTAAAGTATGGCGTACCTCCGAGGGGACTTAAAAGTACCAGGTACGAAATATTACAGGATCATAAATTTGCGCTACTGAGTTATTTCACAATATAGCGCATCAACTGTTTATTGTTCCACGGTATTCATCAGTTGATATCAGTTCGTGTTGTAAGCTATCTTCAAAGCTCATAAAAATATAAACAGAGTCACCTTACTGACAAATGGGGATTATAACGTAACTGGTTTGTTAATTTTCTCTGAATGATGTCACTTTGTATAGATTAAGCTGGAGTTAATAATTATTTATTATACACATCATTTTTAATTTAAGAACTAAATTGAATTATAAGTTACTACATGGTAATTGAACTAGCAGAACTCAGCGATATATATCAATATATGAATTCTTTGACAAATTAAAAAAAAAACTCATTTACTTATACTATTACAGTAGATGGAAGATATTTAGAATCTTAATGTATTTAGTGTTGGATTTTGTTCACTATATATATTACCCATTTAAAAACTTCTGGTTCACCAGCCCACCAATGTTCAACGAAATATTACTACTTATTTTGTGAGCAAATTAAACATATAGTCAAAAACTGTTGATCAATTCGTTGAGAAAGCTTTCGAGAAATACGACGGAGCCTTCAGAAAACCTAAATGAGCCGAAGAGTTTTCATCTAATCAGAACGCAACGGAGCTTTCTAGAATATCAACGTGTCATGCTACTATTGGGCGGTAGCATAACATGCCTCTTTATGAATTGATTGAATTATAATATCTATAAATGCATTTTGATTCTTGCCTAGCAAGCACTTCTTCAGTCTTTTTCTGTCTTTTGATATGCTACTGTGGAGGTTCTATACGTTCGAGTGCCGTAGTTGTTTACTATATTCCGCATTAATCAAGTAAAGAACTTAAAACAATACGACAATACGATAATTATTTAATTTTACATTTAATACCAATTATCAATTATCTGAGTATGCTATTCCTATTGTATGCTGATAATTCCTGTTATCTATTCACCCAGTTTTGACATTGGTTCTGGATGAAATCCGTTTTAAAGTTATAATTATTAAAGTGCAATTAATTCCCACTGTCAAGAAAATTTGTACATAAAGAATGGTATTATTCTATTAGACGTTGTTTTTCACAGGTCAAGCGTTATCTTCATTTTCATCTTCCTTATAGTTGAAGGTCGAATTCTCAGTCTTGGTAGCACAATGCTGAAGAATATTTGAAAGAGTTCCATGATAATATTATTGTTGAGTTGATATTTTCAATTTGTGTTGCAAAAAGCAGATCGCAACAAGCAAAAATAAAACAAAAACTCACTGATTTACTACTTATGCACAATAAGTATGGAAAGTGACAAGTATTTGACTTGTTCGGCGCTATTGTTTTTACTTATTGGTGTCAGAAATCAACTTTTGATAACAATTTCAAACCTTCTCAGCTTACTTACTTACTTACGCCTGTTACTCCTCGTGAAGGAGCATAGGCCGCTCACCAGCATTCTCCATCCAACCCTGTCCTGAGCAATCCTTTCTAGCTCCGTTCAGTTGTAATTCATCGTTTTCATATCTGCTTCTATTATCCGACGCAATGTGTTCTTTGGCCTTCCTCTTGTTCGCTTCCCTTCAGGATTCCAAGTTAGGGCTTGCCTCGTGATGCAGTTTGACAATTTGCGTAATGTATGTCCTATCCATTTCCATCGTCTTTTCCTAATTTCTTCTTCAGCTGGAAGTTGGTTTGTTCTCTCCCACAGAAGGCTATTGCTGATGGTATCCGGTCAATGGATGTTGAGTATCTTGCGTAGACAGCTATTTATAAATACTTGTACTTTCTTGATGGTGGTTGTTGTAGTTCTCCAAGTTTCAGCTCCATACAGTAGAACTGCCTTGACGTTGGTATTGAAGATTCTCACTTTGATATTGGTTGAAAATTGTTTTGAGTTCCATATGTTCTTTAACTGTAGGAATGCTGTCCTTGCTTTGCCAATCCTTGCCTTTACGTTTGCATCTGAACCTCCTTGTTCATCGATGATGCTTCCTAGGTATGTGAAGGACTCTACATTTTCCAGAGTTTCTCCATCAAGAGTGATTGGATTGTTGTTTTCCGCTTTGAATTTGAGGACTTTGGTTTTTCCTTTGTGTATGCTGAGACCTACTGATGCCGAGACTGCTGCTACACTGGCTGTCTTCATCTGCATCTGTTCGTGTGTACGTGATAGGATGGCTAGGTCAGCACTAAAAAAATTTTTTTCATGCAAATGGTTTCTTTAGTCATCTTACAGTGAGCAAAAACAAAAGGTTGAGCAGAATAACATTTTATTTCTATCAGTTCTTATTAGCTACTTACAACTTCTAAGATTAAAAAAACAATAATTATAAAGCTATTTGAGAATACAAAAGATCAGAGAGTTATAAATAGGTAGTAACGTAATAAGCATACACTAATTATGCATAATAATAAAAGGAATATGAGTGGAAGACTTAAAATAAATTTACTGATGTTATAACACTCACTTTTACTTCGTCTAATGTTACAACAGTTAGGTTTCCACTTTTACATTTATGGGACGTTAATTTACCTTTGACGAATATCTACACTAGATTCCCTCCCAGTGTCTATTCTACAGGACTTCAACACAACTGAGATCAGCAACATGTGATTAGCCTGATCACAACGTAAATATATTTCCACACCGAAAACCGACACAATTCAACAACAATGAACAATCAATAATAAATAATTATAAGGATAAGGGAAAATATAACTTATCTGACATCTGTCAGACTAACTACATGTCTGACTAAGCAGACAACGAATCATTATCATTCTCGCTCACACATTGACTGAACTAAACGTCAATCGAGAAATGACGTGACAATGTAATCACATTCAAGAGTTAAGAAGAATTTCATAATATGACGAAACAGCTTTAAAGGCTATCAAATGTTAACAACAATATCTTTTACAATGCATTATTCAGGTTACTGATGTCTAATAGGAATAGCGTCATCAATATCTGAACTACTGTATAACAATTGACAAAACCAAAACTTACTTAGACTTTCATTAAACTTCAAATGTTTCGGAACATTGGAGAATAATACTTCAGTGTCGCCTAGCATTTAAATGAAGAAATTACAACTATCTATTTACTGATCTCCCTACAAAAATGCTTGAGGAAATGGAATTTTTTCTTTTAAAAATTCAATGTTTCAGCCTACAATGAATTGATCTAATGGAACTTTAAAGAAGAAGAATGTATTTGTAAAATCTCAGCGAAAGAATACATCCATCCTCTTTAATTTCTCACATTAACTCGGCCCCCAAATATTGTGAAACAGTTCGACCAAATTTAGACAAAAGTTCTTAATTAATGAAATTTTGGTTTTCAACAGTTAGTAACTAATGGGAATCCAACGTCTTTTAAAAGTCAAACTTTTGATTCTCAGTAAAATAGGTTGCAGCATAAATTTTATGAACATTGTTAATTCATTTGATGTTGTTTACTTGTATCTTCCCACTGCAGTTGATCAGTCTCTTGTTGGCATATGTGTATTCTGTGTGTATTGCCTGAAGTCACAAGCATTAAAAGCAAAGATAAATAGTGGCTAGCAGTAGAATCCAGTTTGACGCGCGTTTCGTTCTACTTGAGACTCGTCAGCTGGATGTACCTGCATCTGAGAGTTGATGTTCGCACCGGGATTCGAACCCAGTATCGACCATTTCGAACGCCATCGTATAATCCACTTAGATACCTAGAGACTGATCAATTGCAGTCCTAAATAAAGATAGGAAGATACAAGTAAAATAAGTAGCTATTACTAAGTTTTATGAGGTAAAGATGTTTTAGTCAGAAAATCTAATTGCCTATAGAATTGTTGTCAACGTTTTACGACGAAATGTCTTCATGTTAGCCAGTTTTCTAAATATCTATATATAAGATTTGAAAGATTCAGTTAAAAAATACTTAGGTGTTTCATTGATTATCCAACTTATACTAAGTATAAAAACATCCCGAATAATGATGTAAACCATAGGTCAACTCACCAGTCTAACTCTTTAGTTGATTGAGCATAGATTGCAAGATGAATTCTTTTACAATACTTTATTTTGTTTAAATTTAACAAAAATTCTTTATTATAACGTGGTGTTGCTGAGTTTTCGACTATTTCAGTAGTTTGTTCAAATGTAACGCCTTTGTCTGGAGATGCACTTATCTGAAATTGTAGAAGAAAAAAAAGATAGATCAACTTAACGATGTATTGACGCCTATGTAATTTGCAAAGCTAATAATTACCTAAATAAATCATTCCGGTTTAAATGTTAGTTCGTTGAAGGTGAAATTCGATCAGTAATGATGACAATGATGACAAACATGATATTGGTTAATATTTAATGATCAATTGGTGGCAACATTTTTGATTAATTAATTTCATAACTTTTGGTTAACTATGGTGTTTGAATTAAAGATTCAGTGGTCAGTAACCCTCAATCAGATTTCATAACAAACTTGTTCAGCTGAAGTGAACCATCTAATCATTTAACATTTAATGCTAAAAAAAATTTCATAAATTCTGACTCATATATATCTAAAAGTTAATGTTTAAGTGTATTTCTATCATCTAAAAGTACCATCTATCAAGTGTCTTCTTTTTCGATGTCGTGAATTCAAGATCATGACGTAATGATGATATATTGTCAAAGAAAAAATGACTATTCATAGTATTGTCGAATACATTTGAATTATAATCAAGGAGGGGTTGTGTCGATATAGTAGTATCGAGATCGTAGATGCACACTGCTGAGGAGAGACACAATAAGACGAAACCGCCTTCCATTGCTTCCAGGTTTTCCATAGTGGTCTAGCTTCAATTGACTCATGATCTCAACCATTAAAATATATAGATTTGCTGTTTTTTCTCATCGGATTTTGAGAAGATAATTGAAGCATTTTATTCTGAACACCTGAACCGGTAAATATAACAGAATTGTAGCATAATTAGTATGAATTAGAGCATGATAAGACTGATGATTTTTTTTATAATAACCATTCAAAAATAATACTGCAGTATTTAGTTGGTCAAGAAAGAACCCAATAAAAGACGCTTACTTTCACGAAAGAGTTGCAGTTCTGACTGTTAGTAGTACGAAGTCCTTTGGCTTCAATTACTGAAATGAAAAAAAGATATTCAAGTTACTGAGGTGATAATAAAAAGAATATACTCACACAATATAGCTGTATTCTACAAACATATTATTATAACTTTCCAATAACATAAGCAAACAGCATCGTATAAAATTGGGAATGCTGAACAGCTTTGTTATTGGAGATTAGTGACTCTCATATTAACCAACTCTTTATGGTAGTTGAGTGTTCATCTGAAGGCTCAATAGATGTACTTTAAGTTACTGATCATTAAATTTCAATTAACAACTAGTATTTTTAAGTTAATATAACCACCTCTCTACCACTCTTGAACTGATCACATATCAATGGAGAAATGGTAAATAATTTTGACTTATTATTCACTGAAGTGTTCTGATCAAGAATATATAACTCTATAGTTTTTTCTTACATTCTGCTTTGTTATTCAATTTTTTAATAAACATGTAGTAAAGTTTGCCATTGTTCTAATCTTACTTATTGAAAATATTGAATGAATCAGCTACCCTTCTAGCCCACAAGCTTCATATATCAAAATACTTGTGTACTGTTAGTGATTACATCTTAGTCCTTTATGGTGAAGAATAGTTGTAGATTTCTACACTTTGGTTCTTCTCTCACTGTATCCAATCACTATGTTTATGCTTCCTTTGATTCATTCATCACAGTATTATAAAAGCATTTTCTTTATTACGGAAGAATAATGCCTTTACTAACCGTAACTGGATTGTTGATATTTGACCATGAAAGCCAGAATATCTGCACAGTTATTTACTCAAATGAGCCTCTAGATTATCCGAATAAGCCGTCACTGTTAAAAAGGTTACGTTCTATTGTAAAATTGTCACGTTGAATTAAGAAGCACAATGAGATTAATGCATAACTTCTCCTTTTTATTCTGTCGAATCATAGTCCTTTCCATGAATTTCTGCACGTATGACTTTAACTCAATAGCTAAAGTGAACAGATGAATAATACAACTTTCATCATGAGGGTCATGACCAGAGATGCCAACTTCTGACGAATCCCACGTTCAGAGTAATACGCTTTCCGATAGTCTTCAGTTTTCAAAGGTACTGTAGTGTCAGTTATTATGGCAAGCCCATCTACCTTATTCTATCTTGTGGACATCCTATTTAATTCATTTTATTTGAGTCATATTTTGACCTTGTTAATTATTCGCTTATTAGCCCTGACTGTTTTCATAAGAGCGTATGTGTGTACATTTCATGTCCCGTGACTTATCACATGTCTGTCGTTCATTTTGTCCGCCTATAAATATTAAGTAATGCCTAGCTTGAAATGGAGTTGGCTTCCCAGCCATCTTCCCTGCGCGTCACGGGCCACTAAAATGGTAACCCCGACGTGGGAACAGGAAATGACGGGTCACTAAAATGATGAGCCCGCCGACGACGAACGCAACGCAGCAAGCTACGTCGATGAATGAACGTCGGCACTCCATATTTTCGGCCACTAAAATGATGTGCCTTTCGACGAACATCGCCCGATTTAAACAACGACAAAACTGCGAGGCCTCCCAAAAATGGTAAACCCGCGGACGACGAACAAATTCAACGAAGCCAGCACAATCTCCAATCCGACGCAATTATCAAAGCCTGTGCAACATGACATGGACATGTTCAAGTCGTATTATCTTATCGATACTTTGTCCTCATGTCAACTATTCTCATTGATCCATTCGTCGGTTTGCCCCATTACTATTCGAATTATCATTATATGCTTATTGTTACATTATTCTCAATATCATGACCGAATGTGGAATTATTAATCATGTTCGTGCCATCATTAAATTATGACATTTTCGTAATCATATCAACCACCGAACAAATTATCATTTTATGAACACTCCACTTTATGACATTCAAAACTCACTGGAATATTTTTACTATTCAAAAACGTGAAATTTTCCTGCTTTAAGTGAGTTCGTTCCAATTTTTTCATGTCATTTGATCGAATATTGCATACATTCACTTAGTCGAGGTCAGCAATTTATGTTATCATAACATACATTTTTCATTTCAAAATCGCCTATTATGTCTGTGGATGCCTCTAACTAGCTGATTAGTAACCATTATGTTCATCTTATCTATTCTTCCACATGTATAACCACATGCCGCATCATTAATTACCCAAAAACATTATTCGAGTACTGCAACTACTATTATGTCCCCATCGCACGGTATATCAGAACATAGAGTTTAGAGCTAGTCTCTCAAAGATACACTCTTGTTCATTACATCCAAGTCGGTCTCATACTCCGCCATCGCTAATCATATGTATTGGTATTTTTGTCATGCCTTGGTACGGTTTTGTAACAAACAAGATCGAGCGCATCTCCCTCAAACCACACAAACCACTCTAGGCTTCATGACCAAAAAGGAATAAGACTCTACGTACTTCGTCTACTCAGTCACTATTCTGTTCCTCTGGTCATTCTCCTAATACATATTTAACGATAACTCAATGCATCTGTCATAACGCAGACGACAACATTCACTGACTTCACATTTTATGATTATTATCAATTGCAGTACAGCAACGAATATCACCCGTCAATGCAGTTATCATTTCACGACTTGCCTATTGTCATTCTACGAATGGGGAACTACTCATTTAAATTCAAATCCACTCATCGCTAGTCGATGCTATTTATTCTACTGCGGCTCAACGGAACATATATTTAACATATTTCACTATTCTGTCAGCACCACAGACCAATTTCTGTCATATTATACTTTACTTATTTTCACGATTTGTTTCGCAGTCGTACCCACAAACAATTTATTACTGTTTTCATGGTATTTTGAATCGCTCATACGAACTTGTTATTTTATGGTTCAGACATTCATAGCATTAGTACATGTTAATTTTTTGTACGCTCATTAAATTGCTCATATTCGCATGTTAACGTTCCCATTTTTGTCCGCGCCTTTTCTATATTCATGTATTCTTTTACATAAATATGACATTTTCATATAATACACTCACCGCTCATGTGACACTACTGTACTTTATCGAGTGTTGTACAATTTTTTTCGCTACTTGTTGCTAACGTTAACTTCATATCACTTCAGTGTTATTTTCGAAAACAGACATTTTTTAAATGTGCTATTTTCTACAAGGGGGGCTATGTAGTGTCAGTTATTATGGCAAGCCCATCTACCTTATTCTATCTTGTGGACATCCTATTTAATTCATTTTATCTGAGTCATATTTTGACCTTGTTAATTATTCGCTTATTAGCCCTGACTGTTTTCATATGAGCGTATGTGTGTACATTTCATGTCCCGTGACTTATCACATGTCTGTCGTTCATTTTGTCCGCCTATAAATATTAAGTAATGCCTAGCTTGAAATGGAGTTGGCTTCCCAGCCATCTTCCCTGTGCGTCATTTTGTTTGGCTCTGTTTCATTCGCTCCATGTACGAAATATATGTATTGTCAAGTCAATTCTCGTTATTCGTCTTATTTAATTCCGTTATTGGATAACGCGATCTAAGTCGACAATGATATACAAGAATAGGCGATAGCAAACACTCATACAATCTGAATTGGAGTCAGATCACGGGCCGCCACAGTACTTAATTACAATAAATGCTATATACAAATTCCTTGAAGTTTTTCAGGCTTAAAGGTAAGAGACGAAGATCCTTAAATATCATAATTGAAAATCTGCATAGTTTACTATGTTCACAAGTTATCAATCTGTATAGGGTGACCCAGAACAATAGGAGATTTTTTGCAAAGTTCATCCTACATATCCATTAAATGTTACTGTTGAATTATCATTTCCTGTTTTCACAAAATTATTTCGAGTTATGCTGGCGGTCTGAAGACGTTGTGGTGTGAGCTACTTATATCCAAATAACTGGTATATAATGATAGTTAGGATTAGAATATATTTTAGTAGAAGATCGAGAAGGAAAGAAGGAGAACGGAAAGCAATCGATATGAAAATGAAGGAACAATGAAATCTCAGATAATGGACTGATATTTGCAAAAGAAACGGTCAAGTTTGAGACAAATGATTGATATTTTGCAAATTAAGTATTTACTCTATGGTTCTCAGATTTTAGTAAGATTTTCTGTCGGCTTTGTCTAATAATAATTGGAACAGCTTTATAAGCATGCAATAAAAAAGGGACTTGAGTTATTATTATTTTTTAATGTTTAATATTTATGACGAATTGCTAAAAATATACGCAAATTGCATAGAAATAAATATCAACAGTTGTGCGGGATGAGTATTAACAAATTAAAATAAATTCTAAGGGGAAGCAATGACCAGTGGAGTTTAACTGGGTCTGTTGTGATGTAGTAACTAACCAAAGACATTGATGGATGTGTCGCTCAATTTTGTGGATTAATTGAAGTTAGATATTAACACCGTTGGATGCCGACTCAGTGGTCTAGTGGTTAAGCGTTTACGCGTGAGATCGATAGGTCCTGGGTTCGAATCTAGTGAGGGGGATAGTGGATGCACACCGCGGAGGAGTCCCACAGTAGGTCATAACGGCCGTCCAGTGCTTCCAGGTTTTCCATGATGATCTTCTTTCAATCGACCCATAAATTCAATTGTTATAATACTATGATCTCTAGAAAACCTCTCTCTGGTTACAATATTGATTTATGTAATCTTATTTTATGATTACTATCATAGAACTGAAAATACTAATTATAACCTGTCATTTAAGTTTAAACCATCATTAATAAATGATTTAGTTAAATATTTCAAAGATAAAGGAACCTTTACATCTCTTTACCTAGACAAGAAATTGAAACACTTCAAAGTCACAACTACAATCTTACTATATTTGAATATCTAACAAAAGATTAACCAGAAGTTTAACAAAAACATGAATTTACCGTGTAATTTAATTGAATGATTTTGATATTCTATATCCAATCGAAGTTTTCCTGTCAGTAAAATGAAAAGAAAAAAACGGTAAGCATTAATAAATGAAATGAAGATCTGATTAATGAACTGGTGGAAAAACTTACAGGATTCCTTAGCTAAATGTCACTTTAGTCTTTTGAATGAAATAAAATCTATTCCTAAAAATATTCAACTAAACAATATATTTAATAACATCTAATCAGTCAATGACAAAACATATGGTTCTCATTGCAACCACAGTATCATTTAGTCACTCAACTGAAATACAATGTTGAATTAAATATTTCCAGTTAATTCAGCTTATTACACATAGCTTTTGGTGTTTTCTGGTAAACAACGTTCCAATATTTAACTTGGAAAGATTTAAATGTCATATTTTACTACAAGTAGTTTCAAATATCTATTCCAATACTGAAACTATAACCGAACGTGTCAAATTCTTATCAGTTTGCTGATTCTTATGAAAGTTCACCTTTAAACTTTACAGATATCTAAACAATCACTTATCTAAAATGAAGAATTCATCTGAATAAAGAATAAATGATATAAGATCATCAAAAAAACATCAAGTTGTAGACGGTGACCATCATATGACTTCGAAATTATATCCGAATATGCCGAATCTATATGAGTTTCTTCTAGCTTTAAATTAATAGTCGACTGAAGTAAATTTGGTATTGATATATTTTTTTCCATGTATATATAAATATCAGGTTGCTCCTTGAAAAGTTATACGAGATATCGAAGCTTGATGTAAAATTAAGATGGGCGCTTCAAGTACTATTTCATATCAAATAACTAATTGAAAATCTCAAATTAATCAATCACTGCAATCATAAACATTTAATTTCCATATCTATTCACAATACATTTATACACTTTGATATGAAGTTGATGTGAGTTCTATATCTTCAGGATCTGACATATCACAATCAGATACTTAATTAAATTAATCATTTACGAAATCAACAAAAACAGTCATTATGAGATGGTTCATAAAATACTAGCCAATAGGATTATTTTAAGATTGTGTATATTCGATGGGACCAAACTTCAGTTGACTAACAACCTCTGTTAATAAATATATAACTTCTTATTTTAATGTTAAAACGATTAATTACCGATTAATTTAACGTATATTATCGGTAGAATTAAGCATAAACTTACTTTGACTAATATCCCGTGTAGTATTTTTATAACTTTCTAAAACGTGAATTTAAAGCAATTAGTCCCTTTTATAAATTTCGATAAAACAATGAGAAGACGGAGTTGATCTGAAAAATGTGATGTATTTGCGCTATACATTTCGAACAATCTGGTCACACATATACTTGTCAAGGCATGTGCCCAGATGGCTTCAAAATCAGTGTGTGTGTCAAATGACCCGATCAATGTAGGAGGTAGGAAACCAAGTTCATCGATAGCAAAACACATAATTGAGACGGGGCACAAGATTGACATTAATTCAGCATTTAGAATGTTGTATAGGAATTGTCAAGGTCGAATTCTTAAGTTTATTGAAGCCTTAGCTATTCGTAAATTTAAACCCCCCTTATGTGTACAAAAACAATTTGTCGTAACCTTGAATTTACCTTGGTAATCCTTAAGTCATTTTATGGCCTAGGATAACACGACAATTTCTTATTCTTTCTCTCCCCTTAGTTATTTTAATTGTACTTTTATTCGTTTGACCTTTATTAATTTTCATATAAAAATGCCTTGACAAGTATATGTGTGACCAGATTGTTCGAAATGTATAGTGCAAATATATCACGTTTTTCAGATCAACTCCGTCTTCTCATTGTTTTATCGAAAACGTGAATTACAATTTACATGTAAGATAGTTATTTTTTACTAAATTATACGACTAGTACCAAATGACAGCTTCAAGGTATTTTACCCAATTTTAAGTTTAGAGATGGTCAACATTTTTGATTAGTTAAATCTGTTAAATTTAAATAAAACTAACAAACGGTTTAGAATTATTTATTTATTTAAACACATAAAAATTGGTAGAAGTAGGCAAGAAAGGGGAACCGAATAGATATGCGCCACGTAAACATTCGACTTGTGTTAAGGCTGGGATACTAACCGGGTGCCTAAACAAAAACAGGTGGCTTCTTTATGGGACCACACTCCGGGCCTTTGATCTACAGGTCTGATCCAACTGGCACTGAGGAAACGCAATGAGATGCAGTCCCATGGTAGCCGGTCATCAAGAATTGGTTCATAAGCCATTTATTCATTCAGGTTATTGGAGCCCATGTGCATCATTGGTTTGAATGAGGGTTTTCCAACCCCCTAGGTGGAGTCTCTGTTTCAACGAACTAGGTTAGAACGCGGAACATTCACTTTTTGTCCTCTCGATTCCGTAAACAACACCTGTGGTGCGAGAATGCAGTGAGTAGGACTTTCCTTGCAGTGGTTATATGCACGTGGCCATGGGAGAGCATTTGGAGAGGGTGAGCTGACTCTCTCCACTCTCAGCCATACCAGGTCATTATGATCAGTGTTTTAAATAAAGTGGAGTTCGAAAAAACTTAAGAACACAAGTCAAAGAAGAAACAACATATTTGATATAATAGTTAAGATCAGCCAAGACTTTTATGTTGATTATAAAATCATGTAAATCTTGAAAGAAACATTTCACTTTTGTAAGAACCAGATGGATATATCGGATAGATAAACCCTACTATTTAGTGTCTGATTATCATTTACAAATTTATCAATATAATGAATCTTAAATATGGTTCTCCAGTAGCATGAGTTATTTCCTCCGCTCCATAATGCCTACATGGACAAAAAGGGGATAATTTAAATTAAACAACATGTTATGCGGACAAAGCAATAGAGTGACCATGGGATTACTAGTCAGGCCTACATTGGCCGGCATCTTCATAGCTAACCTTGAACAGAAGTGATTCAAATACGGAACTGAAAATATCAAACTCTATTGAAGGCACCCTGACACTACATTTTTTATTATCAATATAGAATTGTGGAGACTATAGAGCTTTTATTGAAATCATGAACCGATGATATCAAACCACAACTAAAAACCTGGGAGCACTGTACGGCCGTTTCGTCCTAGTGCGTGACTCCTCAGCAGTGGGCATCCACCATCCCGCAAGCGGGATTCGAACCCAGGACCTTCGGTCCCGCCTAACCTCTGAACCATTGAGCCGGCATTCAGTAGTGTTATTATCTGTTTGTATTTATTGCGATATGAATCATGTGTCAAAATTACTTTGCCACTTTAACGAATCACGTGAAATCATAAAATGTAACTATGGATTTCGAACATAATGATCAGTTTATCTATCTTGACCTGAACATAAAATGGAAAAACAATGGACAAGCAAAGACAGTATATTCAGAAAACATACATAGACGGCTTTTGCCTAAACTAAAAAAGATTGGTCCTCTTAGTCGCATACGCCGTTCAGTCAAAATCCCATTTGGTAGGGCTAGAAGGTTATGTTCAATTAATAAAGTAGAGGGACAAATGGGGTACCACTGAAAAATACCTCATAAAAAGTGGATATACAAATAAACTAATAGTGAAGTACGCAAATATTCACGGAAGGTTCCAAACGAATAACTGTCTAAAAAATATATCTTCATCCAACTTGCATTTGGAGGGATGATATTTCGGGTATAAAAGGATGACAGCGACTCTGAAGAACCTTTCCTGTAGCTCAACTAATTTCAGTATATAACACCAAATGTTCTTCAAAACAATAAAGAGTGGATCATTACCCCTTTGACCTCACCACCAAATGTCTTTATAAAGTGTACTCATGACAGCAGGTATGAAGGAAATATTGAGAGGGGTTTTATTACACATGTTCCTCGAAAGCCACGTTTAAAAAGAGGTAAAGTGTTCACAAGCGCAATCACTAGATACTTAATTGATAAGGGGCTTAGAATAAGTATCACAAAGTGGTTTAAAATAAGTAGGAAATAGGGAACATGGCTTTTACTCTGCTTTGTAGAGGCCATCATCATGAAGGTTTTGTCACTTAAACGTTGTATACACAGGAAAATTATGGTAAAATTTACGCTGCCATGGTAAACTAACTACATTGTTTTAACATCTGTCAGTTACATAGTCTGTTCACTTTGTTTTGTATTTAAGATAATTTTATTGAAATTCACATGAAATGTAAGACTTAATACTATATAAGTTAGATGTACTGATCAGCATTTATTTGTTAGAAATGTCTTGTTATTTATGATATAATCCCTTTATATATATATAACTTCATTTTCAACCAGATACTAATGGTCACTATTAATGGTCATGTTAAATATGTTGTTTTCACTTCTAGTTGTTTATGTTTTTCTGTGTTGTTTCGACCTGAGTTTCATTGATTCATTTATGAAAAAATGTTCTTCGTAATCATAACATTACATCGTCACAATAATATTGCATGACGTAGGAGCTGAAGATGTTATCTACAATAACAAGTCATCTGGCTCAAAAAGCTCAATACCATAATAATAACTAATTGTAACTCCAGACTTAGTATAGCTGATGAAAAGCTATGCAATGTTATAAATTCGTTTTATTTTGTAAATCATGTTCTTCATATCTCATTTTAAATTTACCTAGGTATCAGGGTGTGTGAAACTCTACTAAACGTTTAAGGTCTTTGGAGAACTCACTCATTTCAAATTATTTCCCCACTGTTGTACAGAATCAATGTAACTACAAAAGTAAATCTTCCTAAGGAATATTACAATAATTAAATACCAATTATATACTATCAAGGACATAAGGTGATGGCTTGAGATACTCGACAGGAAAGCGTCATATCACCATCTTACGTCTCAACATTATGCACACATTATTGAGTCACCTAGACTAGTAACCACATTGCAATCTGATCGATAGAATTCGAGCGTCACTATGAAGAATCTGACACACATGGAATTGATCACTACCCAATCAAAGACTTATGTTATAAGAGGACACTTATTATTTGGAGATAATGCAGTTTATTAATAACTCAATATC